AGTGTCTCTATAATTTTTTAAACAAAATATAAAAAAAAATTAAAATAAAAATAAGATGGTATTGAAGGGAAAATTTTTTATATATGTTAATTACAAAGAAAGTGATATCAACTATTATGTGTGGATAAAAAGTAAAGATATTCAAACGAAAAGTGAACAACAATAAAATTTATCAACATTGTATTTATATATTATAAGTTATAATATTTAATATATAAATTTTTAATATTTATAATAAAATAAATTATTTATTTATTTTTTAAATTATACTTTATTTCCCAAATATCCCTTAAACTAATAAAAATCATATAAATAATTTTTAAATTATTGAATATTTATCAATTTATGAATATTGAAATACTATATAATATGATTTTGTTATTTTAAATATTATTTATTAATAATGTTAATAGTTAAAGACTAGGTGTCAAAATAAATAGTTTAAAAACTATTTAGGAGAAAAAATTTCATGACCCACATTAATAGTTTTTTCTTATAATAATTATTTTAAAACTTTACACAATATGTTTAATGATTAATTGATGGTATAATGTTTTTTTATATTGATAGTATATGAAAATTAAACTCTAAACCCTAAACCTATAACAACATGGTTTCTTGGATTTTGCAACTTAAACTAGGAAGTATAATATTTTTATTAGGGTAGAACAGTTTGAGTGTGAGTCTACCACGACATTAGCTTATATAACTAAGTCAACTATGGGATTAACTTGTCGACTACCCTCCAAATACTACTCCCTTCTAATACTTCATTAGGGATTTTGTTCCCCAACCTTGTACCTTACTTGATTGGTCACTTTATACATGTGTGTCTCAACCTTGCCTACATACAAATCAACATTAGTATTTTGTAATTAGTATAGCTCGACCTGACCTTTATAGTGTGGTTACTTATAACCGGTATGCTTCGATCTTGCCACATACTGCATCAACTAATGTCTTATAGGAGACTCAACTATTAACTTCAAGAGTCAACAACTTCAGAAAAGTTTTCAATGATCAAGCTCAAAGAGCACCAACCAATATCCTCAGAATGGGATATTCAACATTAGAAAAATACCCTCTCCTCTAGTCCTAAGTAAATCAATACAACACACCCTAATGCCTTAATGTCTCAAGCATGCTCAACACCATCACCTTAGTAGTTCAACAGCTAATCATCATATACATTATCCTAGATCAATGTATATAGAACCAACATCATTCAACAACATTCAACTATTAACAATTTAATCATCGATATACATTATCTCATATCAATGTATAAAGAACCAACAACATATATCAACATACAACATGTAATAGATTCAATTAACATGTACATGTTCATCAATTCATCAATAAAATAACACATCTTCATAAGGCAACCCACACCCGGTGCCATTCTTTTCCTGGTGTCATTAAAACAAAGAGCTCTCAGACTTGTTCTTGCATAATGCCATTCAACCTACACTCAGCGTGGATGAGATAAAGAGCATTTGTTGCTCTCACGCTTGATTGGCCAAATACTACATTTGGCCTCATTTTATGTAGAGAACCTCTACATGACCCATGTCTGACAGCACTAAATCGGTACTTGACGTCATTTAAGCAGAGAGCCTTTATCTTTATCACGTGTGACACCTCCTCTACTAGGGCCAACTCTCACCAAGTCGGAGATGTTTCTCTCTCATCACACCCATTACCATTCAAACCACGTCCCACATGACCAAGTCAGAGACATTTTTCTCTCCCTATGTCTGGCGTCACCAATCCCATGCTTGATGTGATTAG